GAATATTTATATATTACTTATATATTATATTATTTTTATTTATTATAAGTATTTAATATTTACATATAATTATTAAAAAAATAATCCATGTTTAAATTAATTTTTTATAAAAAATATTACTTAAATTATGGTTTTCTATTTGCCATAACCATAATGTTATAACTCTCGACTCATAAGAGCGGTGTTGCCAAGTTTTAGAATTTATTTAAAGTAGACTAAAAATTTCGGCAATTCAACTTATTAAATAAAACATAAATACTTTTAATGTTACTAAAAAAAACTATAAAAAATATAATACTAATATAACTATAAAAACACCAATATAAATTGTTAATATTTTAAAATCTATAATACATACAAAATTTCAAATATATTTTTTACATAAAACTTATTTTTATAAAAAAAATTTTTCTTAAAAATAAGAAAACTTGTCCTTATAGAAAAGATAAGATACAATTTATTTTTTTGTTCATATACAAAGTAATATTATTTTCATGAAAAATAAAAATGTAATATTAATAAGATTTAATCATAGAACACAAACAAAACTTTTATGAACTTCTTAAAAATAGTTACATTATTAAATATTAACATAATTTTTTCTAACAATGTTCTTCATCATTGTTCTACTTGTACATTATTATAATAAATGAATATACCTAAAAAGATGATATTTATTAAGAAAATTTGAAATTTTACATTATTAATTTCTTTTTTATGAAAATCATTTACAAAGAATCTTATGTTATGTAAGTAACATGTGTTTGTTGATGTAGATGTTTTTCTACATAGTGCAAAATGCTGAAGAGACAACTAATGTGCCTTCATTTACAATGTTTATCACTAGAAATAACATAGCAGTATATCTGTTGTACAATATTTTCAGCCAAATTATTGGAAATTGAAGTAATATATTAGAAGAGAAATAGAATTCATCTAGTTTTTACAAAAACCAGAATAATTAAAAACATCAAATAATAATAAAATGTGAATACTTATTAAAAATCTTAAGTTATTATTTTATGATATTAAAGAATATAAAATGTATTTAAAAAGATTTTTTTTTAAATAAACTAACATATAGATTGAACTGATCTAAATGTTAAGTTTGATATATATAAAAAGTATAAACAACTTTCCCATATTATATTATGAAATGAAATATTCTATATCGGAAAAAATAGAAAATTATTAATGCCTTCTTTTTAAAGTAAGCACTGGAACAGAAATTTTTTTATCAAGTCCATTTTCAAACTATTAAAGGACAATCTTAAATCTCAACACAATCCTCCTCCTGTTTGTTGTTGATAAACTTCTATTGTATCTCCTTCTTCCATTTCAAGAGTGGTTGGTGTATCCAATTCATTTATAGGTTGTCCATCAAATCTAAACCTTACTGCTGCTATTGCTAAGCCCTGTGAATATAATTATAAACATAATAATTCCAAAATATATAAATTATACATAAAATAAAAGATAAAATGTATAGCATTTTATTATTAAAAAATTTAATTTAAAATTATCCAATAAAATACAATATTATAATAAATTAATCATATGTACTTACCACACGATCACAGTAAGCATTCATTAATTTCCTGAGTGGTGTGTGCTTTTTAATTTTAAATTGAACCACTGCACTATCTTGTCCTAGCACTTTCAAATTTATGTGCTCTGATTCTGTCTTAGTTTCCTATAACAAAGAATGCTCTTGAATCGTCACTTACCATTACATCAGTTTTGAGGTTATAAAGTATTACCTTCTTTTCGTCAGACATATTTATAGTTTAGTACAAATATTATATTATCACTGATTATTAAGAATATTTTCACGAATTAATTATTAAACCAAATGTCAGGCTATCTAAAATTTTTATAAATAAATGTATAAGTAAATCACTCGCAATAATCCCGCTCCTACCTTTACACTTGTAATCACAACGTTTCCATCTTACACAAATAACGTAGTATTATAGAAAGTTATTGGTATACACGCGTTTTGAAAACCTAACATTCGTGATTAATAAACTTTCTAGGGAATTTTGTTATTTGACTGTGGTAGTTTACATTTAATTACAATTTAATGGAATTTCATCCATATTAGAAAAAAAGCGCAAAAATATAGAATTCTAAAGAAATTCAACAAATTGAAAGAAAAATCATTTTTATTCTTATTTTTAATTCTTATATAATAATTATTTTAATTATATTTTTATCTTTAATTTTTATATAATATTATACAAATAAATTTTAAATGTATTCACCTTTGATAAATTAATTATAATATTATATATTTTACGAATTTTATATAATTTTTATTAAAATAAAACAATTGAAAATACAATTTTATTTAACTATAATTAATAATTATTTATAG